CGTTCGCGATCTCACTGATGAAAGAAGTAACCCTTTACGACCAGTGAATATTATGCATCCGACTTAGATTTTGTGAGTACGTTCATCTATCATCCCGTCGACCGCGGATTCGTTATTGAACCTAGGATCATTGTCATTAGTTTCTCGAATACCTAACTACCACGGTTACTTGTCCGCTTCTATAATAATCGTATTTGCACTAGTCAATGTCTTCTCTATTGCATAACGACAACGTGTAACCCAAACGAAGATTCGTTTCACGCCCCTAACCCTAATTCTAATGCAAACCCGACATATATATATATACATCGTACATAAAAACAAAATACATCTAAAAATAATAATAATAAGAAACCTCTGATGGAAATGCCTCCGCAAACATTGTCCGAACATCGATCACCGATGCCTAGGGGAACAACAAAAAAGGGAAAACATTAAAATCGCAAAAACAGCCATAATATGCGAAAATCCAAACTTACGAAAAATAACTCAAAGAAGGTGGTTCTTGTTGTGGGAGAGCAGCGGAATTGCGCGTGTTGCCCGAGCAAGCATCGAAGTGATAATGATGCTGCGGCCGCCAGCCCTTGCACGCGCCGAAGAAACACAGATAATTCCCACGGTACAGCACGTGGAAGTTTCTCGCGGAAAGGACTAGATCAGCATGGAATGCTTCGAGCCTCCTAGACGCTAACTCAGCAGAAGCACAGGACTGATAGGAACTAAGTCGACGTATGGAACCCGCACTCTCTCACGTACGATTTCAAGAAATCCAAACTGCAACATCCCGATTCCCACGGAAGCATACCCCCAGTGGACCACCACCCCGTGGGGGATGGCATTATAAATCAGCGTAGCAACATTGAGCAGAGCGCTTTTTGATTATAATTTACGTACCATATTGTGCTCATTATTGTCATCTTTGTTATTTTAATTCTTTGTACTCATTTCTCTCGTGCTTGTTATTACTTTCATATAGCATTTACTGTATCAATCAGATTAGTATATTGTAAGGCGTGTATCTAGACAAGATAAATAATGAAAATTGGAAATTAACTATATTCAAGTTCAAGTAAAAAAAAACCCCCAGAAGTAAAACACCAACGATCACCGGAGCAGGCGAAGTAATGGCACCCGACAGCACTTTTGTCCTCAAGGTAAGAAAATTAATTTTGAAAATTCCTTCTTCTCTGATAATTTCGTTGCACTCGAGAATCAAACTAGAACTTCCTATCATCGATCTCGTTTTATTTCCGTGAAGGGTTTTGAGAATAGAATCATTGTTTAAACTTTAAACAAACGTAAAAATAAATTTATATAAAACAACGAAAAATCTCACATTCCTATCCAATCCAGCAACGCTAAAATATATATATCCAGCTAATAAAATATATATATATAGATAATAATCTAAGCAATTCTACATTCAAATAAAAATCCGTTCAACGAGGAAAATATTTATTGTACCCAGCTTTAATCCTCTCCCGTGCCAGTATCCCTGCACATAGCAGGTTAGCCGAAAAGTGGAATTCGTTTACTAGTTGCATTAAGCGTCAGTTAACGCTACCCATTAAACGTAAAAAAAAAAATAATAAAAATAAAATATTTTGAAATAGTCCTTAGACTATTTCTGGTGGCAGCAACTACCGTATTAATTAGAAATTTAAATCAGTATTACATACACAATAATATCATTTCAATTTATTTCCCTTCCGATTAAATTCAAACTCAAACGAAAAAAAAAAATTTCAGTAAAATTTAAATTTAAAATTTGATCGATTTAAACAAACAAATTGATACGTAACATTTAGAGTATAAATTTTTGGTGGCAGCGGTGGGATGCGCTCCACGGAGGATTAAAGTTGGTTTAAACGGTTCGATTCGCACCACAAAGGATTAAAGTTGTTACGATTATCGATAAAATAGATACCGAAGAAATAATATCGACTAAATTAGAATCGTTGGACAAAGACATGATCTCGATGTTATCGGAAAAACTTAAAGCATGGGATGCAAATTTTCGCGACATGAGTGTAGTATCGTGGACGAAAAGCCTAAGAGATATCGGGCGAACCATGAACAATGTCGCGAGAGCCGAGGCGCCGTCGGGTCCATCAATGTGTCATCGGTCTTTTCAAATGCATAGTTTCGTAGAAAAGACCTACGTGACCCTGGCCACGAGCGTCTACAGAACACGTGTGCGGTGGGCCTAGCAAAAGACAGGAGAATGCTAGAACGGCCAGCGTGGAGTCGAGAAGCAGCGTGCGAGTCGCGAAGCAGCGAGCGA